TACATTTTAAATAAAATTGTTTATATTTTATTTTTGAAACAGGGTTTCTTATGTCCCAAGTTGGTCTCAAACTCAGTATTAGCTGGCTTTGAACCCCTGATATTCCTGGCTCCACCTCCTGAGTACTTGAATTACAGGCATGGACCATGGTGTGCAGATTATTTTTTTTTTTCTTGCTAAAATCTGCCCTTTTAAGTTCTTACTAGGCAAGATTGGTCTGAAGCAGTTGAAGTCTATGTGGTAGTTCATCTTTTGGAATCACCCTATTCTAGGTGTACCAGAGTCCCTGCTTATCTTTAGTAAATGCAGAAAGAAAGCAGGCAATCACAAGTAGCATTTAAATTGAGGATTTATTTTTTCCTGTGTTAATGTTCAGCAAAACAACACCACTAACCCCACCCTTCCCAACTCAAGCAAAAACCCAGCCAGCAATACTTTGGTAAGCTTTTGGGATCCACTCTGTGGATGAGTGGGCTTGGTAGTCACAACCTTCCTGAGACCCATTAGAGCATTGTGTTTCAGTGGCCATAAAATTGTTCACACCCTGAAGTCCAGTGATGGCTCTCATGGGGATAAGCCCTTGGGAAACAATTAAACAAAGCAAAAGAGCGCACACACACACACATACAGGTGAAAGACATTCATTGTAGCGTGATTGGTAAATGTAACAAGCTGGAGGGAGACCAAGTTCTCCACAATAAGCTGATTGTTAAACTAGAGCACGTAGACCGATGGACTTTTACCCAGTCATTGAATGATAATTATGGAGAACGTGTGGAAACATGAAACTATTTATGATTCTGGGGTATACACTTATTAAATAAGAGAACAAAGACCCAGTATGGCAGTGCCTGCTGATAACCCCAACCCTCAAAACTCAAAAGGTGGAGCAGAAAGATGAGTGGGAAGCTAGACTGGGTTCTGGGGCTAGTCTGGGCTACAGAGATAAACTTCCTTCCTTTTTTTTTTTTTTTTTTTTAAGAAGCTCTTTTCTGGTTATTAAAGCTTGAACACCTATGACCAGCAAACTCTCTAATGACATTATATACAAGGTTGTGTAGGTAATTCTGGGCTGGGATCAGTGTAGGTCTCAAAAGTTTCTGGGAACAGTGGAGCCCCATATCAGCCTGAAGCATCATTAGAACACAAGCTTTCTGTGTGCATCCAGCAGCTGTGTAATGAGCCCAAGGCTGCAGGTGCCCTACATGGACATTAAAGAATGTCGGGAGAAGCTTTGACTTAGAGGGGTGCAGGCATGCCTCAGTGGTTATGCACACTGGCTGCTTTCCCAAAGGACCAGGGTTTGATTTCCAGCACCCACACCACAGCTCACGACTGTAACTCCAGCTCCAGAGGATCTGACTTCTTCTGGCCTCCATGGTGCACATATATGCACGCAGGCAAAACATCCGCATGGATAAATCAATCTAAGAAAAGAAAGAATTATAGGACAAGAAAAGGTTCTAGGAAGTTGAGGTTAATTATGATGTTCCATATAGAAAGAAAAAAATGGAATAAAATAAAATAAAAACTGATACCTTAGAAGCCTGAAGATACTTTGTTTTTGTTTTTCTAGATAAGGTTTCTCTGTGTAGCCCTGGCTGTCCTGGAACTCACTCTGTAGAACAGGCTAGTCTTCAACTCATCTACTTCTGCTTCTGAGTGCTGGGATTAAACACATGCATGGCCACCGCAACCTGACTGAAGATACTACTTAGCCTAAGGTCTTTTGCCCATGCCCCACATACCTCCTTTCCTTCCCTATATAAGAATCCCTTCCCTATACCTGGCTTTCTTGAGACAGTCTTTTTTGGGAGGATGTTAGCCTCCTCCATCATCTCTGTGTGTCGGTCCTTGAATAAACCTGATTTCCTACCTGGTAGCTCTTGCCTGCTGAGTATTGGCTTTCTGGGTGAACAGATGCATGTGCTTTGGGCAACAGTAATATTGGATTCTACACATGTCTATACATTGTTGTTTCTTCATGTTAACACCACAGATGCTCTGACAATCTTAATGCTTCAGGGCTTGGAGCAGACCAGTAGGGTAGCGGTGTGAGGCTCTTCATGTTACTTGGACCTGCATGAGATTTGAAACATATTTCCTTTTAGGTTTCTAGAAGTTTCTTATTTCATATTTTTGGATTGCAGTTTAACAGAGGTAACCAAAGCCGTAAAAGACAAAAAACCATGGGTGGAGAGGGAGTTGTATTTCATGCTTGATGTATACATGGCAAACAGCCAGAAAAATGAGTAAGTTTCACACAGGAGGCGTAGAGTTCAGGTTTTTAAAATACCGTCTTTGAGAGAGCCAGGAAAAGCAAGTGAGTAACAGTAATATTTGTTTTGCAGATTTAACTCAGTGCTTCTCTGGTGACACTCTTGCAAATGGAAATTTCTGTCTTGATGTGATTTCCTTTACTAAGAGCTTCTAAGAGCAGTTTCCAGGACTGGGAGTGTGGTTCTGTGGTTGAGGCATGTGCACTTAGCAGGAGCATGGCTCTAGGCTATCCAGGGCCAATTGCATCTGTAACTAACTTCTCACTCCCCTACCCATCCCAGGAGGGACAGACAAGCCTCTAATTGGTTTTTGTTAGGACCTCATGAATGGTGGAAGTCTTCATTCTGCAGAGCAGAATGGCAGCTCCTGTTGGACAGGGGCACATCTGGGTTTTGAGAGAGGGTTGAGGGATCAGAGTACTATGGGGTGGGGAGATTTGCCTGGTAACAGGAGGCTATAGTTTTTTTTTTTTTTTTTCCTCTAAGGATTAAAGCAGAATGTACTTCCTCCCTGTGGTGACTTGGGAGACTGGACTCTCTTGTTTGTAGAATCTTTTAGCTGTGTTTGGGCTCCAACTGCTTCTTTAACTTTTCAGTCTGTTAGATTAATCTATTTGGTTTGGTCTTATCTCGTTTGGGTCCCACAAAGAACTCAATCCACAGTAATGGCTTCTCATTTCAGTTTACCATATATTAAAAAAAATCTGTGTATTTATGTTACGTGTATGTATATGTATGTGTATCATATGTGTTCAGGAGTTCTTGGAAGTCAGATGAGGGCATAGGATCACCTGGAACTGGATTTACAGGTGGCTGTGAGCCATTGGGATTAGAACCTCAATTTTTGTCTGTTTTTGGACTCAATATATAGACCAGGCTAGAGATCTGCCTGCCTTTGCGTCCAGAGTGCTGGGATTAAAGGTGAGGGACACCATGCTTAGCTACACCCACTTCTTGATGAGAGGAGTACATAGAAGGAGGGAACAGATTGTGGGTGACATCTTTGAATTCTACTCCCACATTAGGTAAAACCTAATTGCAAGAGGAGTGGGGGCAGGGTGAGGTGGCACTTGACATTTGACTAGTTTTGAATAATAGGCTTGGAGCAAAATGGCCTATTTCATTTCCATGTGGAAGGAATGAGTAGTCTGCAGGAGCTTGCAGATCTGTAAGGCCTGCAGATCTACCCCCTTCTGCAGCTCTGAAGCCCTCAGAATGAAATTCCCGGGCTGCTCCTTGGGAGACAGTTGCCCTGTAGAATCAGGCAGACCTGCAGTGACTTTGAACTAGCAGGCACTAAAGCACGGTTGCATTAAGTCATTGAGGTTTTGAGTTTGTCTGGGCAGCACCATTTAACGAGTCCGTCCCTATTACAGCAGGTGGCTTCGTTCCTACTTGCGGACTAGCCCAGGCTCTGTTGCCACGCCCAGTCCAGGTTCCTAGGCTTTGACGCTGCTCAGATTTCTGACTTTGCCCATCTGTGCAGCTGCTCCGTCTTCTCTGGGTTGCCTTGAATAACAAGTTCTAACAGGGAAGTAGCTTCATGAAGTTTTTATAGTTCAAGAAATTTTTAAAGTCGAGAAACAAAAGAGATCTGTAAATCAAGACGCCTTTCAAACACCACCACGTTGGTGGGAACCCCAGGCAGGCAGGTTACAGCACAGTAGGAGACTCTTGGCTTTTGGGTTTGTAGAGGCTACTGGTTTGCTAAATTCAAATATTCTAAAGCCCCCCCCCCATAGCTGAGAGATGGTAGGTTAGATACAAATATGAGCAATGAAGGTCTATTAACGGGACCAAAGATAATTTGGCTCTGGATTTGCAACATTCTAACTCCCCATACCATAGTAAGCCAACCAACTTTGAAGAATTTTAGACATGGCTTTTATGTGGAAACTTCAGCGGAACCTTGCAGCCTGGTGCACCTGCTGTGTTGGGTTTTGACTCTACTAGGACCTGGCAGAGAGAACACAGAGAAAAAAAAAATTCTGTTTTGAGTTTCTGAGACAGAATTTCTGTGTTTTGGAACCTGTCCTGGAACTTGTTCTGTAGACCAGGATGGCCTCGAACTCACAGACATTGGACTCTGCCTCCCTAGTACTGGGACTACAGGTGTGAGCCACCACCAATGCCCCCCCCCTTTTTTTTTTTTTTTTTTTTTTTTTTTTTGCATTTAACGTCTTATCTTTGGTATGGATGTTTTTGGTGTTGATGGGAACCAGAAAGGGGCACCACATCATCTGGAACCTGAGTTTCAAACCTGCGTTGACCTCCTTGAAATTGCTGGGAACTGTAGGTGCCTGTCTTGTTTAAGAGAAACAAGTATTTACAAATAATACAAAGAGTTAATAGATTTACTCAAGTCATATTGTAGAAAGTAAGCTTGGTAAAACAATAACAGCAACAACAAAACACTAGGCTCCTTGCTTCTACTCTTTTAATAATCTCCCTGTTCAAGAGAATCCTAACAAAATAACAAATATATGTGTATATATGTATGTATATATATATATATACACATTTATTGGTTTTCCTTAGTTTACATACAATAACGTACAATAATGTTGTTGATATCACTAACATTTCATGGGTGCAGATTACTTAAGTATTTCGGCCAAGTAATCGCATACTTCCACCCACCAAGAACTGGGAGAGCATTTACTTTCTTCAGCTACCTCCTATACTATAAGCTCACAAGTCTATCCTTTGAACACCATTATTAGCCTTACAAAAGTGTAAGGCCTCAAAAAATTAGTTTAAGACTCAGAATTGTTCCTCTCCACGGAAATCTTTAGTAAAAGGCGAAAGATTTATACGATCTGAAGAGAAACCAGAGTATGCTTTGTTTTGGTAGGTGCACAGTTCTCGGCCGACTGTACCTCCTAGTTCACCAATGGTAACTATTCTCCCCTACAGACAGTGACTGCTTCATTCAACTAAGATAAACATTTTGAAATTTCTACCAAATTAAGAAACTAGGATGAATTAAAAAAAAACAAACAAACAAAAAAGTGCATTGCTCTTTCAAATGAAGGAACTACCCCTGTGCAGTGCATTGTGGGTATGTAAATATGGACGAGTGGCCGCGTGCGCTCCCTGGGTTTCCGGAATGTCCCTGTTGCCGCTAGGCGCTGGGCTGCCACCAGGGGTCAGAGCGAAAGCCAGGTATAAAAGCGTTCAGACTGGTCCGATTTCCAAGCTCGACTTTGGCCTTTGGCGTCCTTTGTGAGCTTTAATTCCAGCACTGGTAGGTAGAGGCAGAGGCAGAGGCAGGGGGAATCATTGAATTTCAGGCCTGTATGGTCTGCATAGCGAATGCCAGGTCATCCAGGGTTACATAAGGGGAAAAAAATTAAAATGAAAGTATGCCTCTTATGGGCAGAGCCCATTATAGAGCAAGCATGAGGGATTGGATTCCATTCTTGGCGCCATTGTATAAATACGAAACAAAAAAGTTGAAAAAAAAAAAAAAATTCTTGTCCTTACAACCAGCCTACAGGCCACAACCCCAGAAACCTAGGTAACAAAGGGGAGACTAAGAGAGACATTCATGGATCCTCCTAGGAAGGAGAAAAAGACAAGACCTACTGAGTAAATTGGGAACGTGGGGGGTAGGGTGGGAGGGGAGTGGGGGAAAATGTATAACTCAAAAAAAAAAAAAAAAAAAAAAAAGATCTTGTCCTTAAAGTCTGGGCATGCAGCGCGGTGGCAGAGTGCCTGCTTGCCATGCAGCAAGGAGGTGGATTAATCCCATTGAAAGTCTTTTCAGCCCGGCACGGTTGGCATACTGCCGAACTCTCAGTGCTGAGACAAAAGGACTGTGAGTTTTAGTAAAGTAAGACTTATTTAATTTAAGATCAAGTATTGTTTTTAAAGATTATTTAACAACGCTGAAAAGTGTTCAACAGTTTTGTGAAAGTAAACAAGCAACCTAGGACCTCCGTGTTTATCTTTTTCCAGTGCTTGGACTATAGTTAGGTTTCCAGCATTGGTGTCAGGTAGCTCACAACTGACTGGAACTCCTTTACCTGGGTTCACTGTTGTTAATATTTTGCCATATTTGTCCCCCAACCCTTATTCACACTTTTTAAAACCACTTGAAGGGAACTTAGTTAATCATGGCCCCTTTACATTATGGGTTTTCTAATAATAGGACCATTAATGTATTTCTATAGAACAACTTCACATCATGAACTTTAACATAATTGGTACTTTCCTAGAGTGTCTTACCAGCCTGGGGATCATTCAGGGTTGGCATTGGTTGAAATTTCTCTGGCTTTCATTCTCTCCCATTATAAGGAGGTTTTTAGTCCCCTTTGAAGTCCACAATCCTTAGGGGTAAATCCATAGTCCCCAGGGGGACTCTTGGTTCTTCTCATGTACCAGCTGTGAGGATTAATCTTTATTGCCACCTTGAAGGAATTTAAAACAATCCAGGGGACACACTTATCACTTGCCCCTTGCCTTACAGCATACATTCCACCCATGATAAATGATTGGCTTGCAGTTCTCTGTGGTCTGGGTTATGTTCTCATATCTTTATGCCATCTTGGGTGTTTTCTTCCTTTTCTATCCCATTTTCTCCCTGACTTGCAGACACCACTTGTTGTCCAGTCAGTGTCAACTTTCTCCAGCAGGTTGCCAGTCTCTGTACCTAGGGTGGGCCTCTGATCCCCAGATGGTTTCCTTTCTAGAGTGTGGTCAAATGGTCTCTGTAGGCCCAGGGTCTAGGTAGTCCATATAGTGAGGATTTAGTTGACTGCAAGATTTCAGGTACTCAGCCTGTCTTATAGTTGATATTTTTTCAAAGTCTCACTCTGTAGCTCACAGCAGACCTCTTGCCTCAGCAAGAGTCCTCACAGGTATGAGCCAAGCCACCACACCCTTCTTTGTTTGGTTTCACTGTGTATCTCAGACAGGCCAGGAAATCCTGACCCCCACCTGCTCCTCAGAGTTTGATGGAAAGGAGTGGTTACACCAGGTTGCAGGGCAGTCACCTTTTCAGCTCAAGGGTTAACTTCTGTGGTCCAGAGCTTCCATTCCCCCCTCCCCTTATTCAGACGTATACTTGTGAACAATATTGTGTTATCTGAGTATAAACTGTCTGGACTTTATGGTAGACTTCAAAAGAGCTGCCTTTCTTTTTTTTAAAATTTATGTATTTTTATTTTATGTGCATTGATGTTTTGCCTGCATGTATGTCTGTGTGAAGTTGTCAGGTCCTCTAGAACTGGAGTTACAGACAGTTGTGAACCGCCATGTAGGTGCTGGGAATTTAACCCAGGTCCTCTGGAAGAATAGTCAGTGCTCTTAACTGCTGAGCCATCTGTCCAGCCCTCAGCTACCTTTCTTTCTTAGTGGCTTTGTTTACATTACACATTTGGAAAGTGAGGCATTATGGACTGACTGTTCTGGAAGATTTTAGGGTCAGTTGTGTTTATTTCCATCATCTCCATGTTCCCTTTTGTTTTTGTATTTAAATTACTCCTTATGTCACTGGAACAATATAAGGAAGACGATCTTTTGGTACCACCAAGAGGTGGCTTGGGACAAGCTGCAGATGAGGCAATATGTATAAGATGGGGGCAATAGGTATGGACTACTGAATATATAGGACTTGAGTTATAAAGGCAATGTCATATTGCAATATGACTAATTTTTGTTTTGTTTTGAGACAAGGTCTCATTGTGTATCCCTGGCTGACCTCAAACTCACAGAAATCATTCTATCTCTGACTCCTGAGTGCTGGGATTAAAGGCCTGTGCCACATACCCACCCCATCTGTCTGTCTGTCTATCTATCTATCTACATCTATTTTTTGAGACAGGGTATTACCATGTGGCACCAGCTCGGTGGTCAAGGCCACTGATTGCTCTTCCAGAGGACCTGAATTCAACTCTCTCAGCACCCACACGGTGGTTCACAACTATCTGATGGGAGATATCACTTTGTATATGTTTCTCATACTGGTTAATGAATAAAGCACTGTTGGCCAATAGGAAAGCAAGATAGGCGGGACTAGGAGACAAGGAGGAAATAGAAAGTAGTAAGGAGGAGTCAAGATGGAGAGTCTGGAGAAGGAAGAACCGCCAGCCGCCTCTCCCTGGTAAGACCAGGTGGAAATACATAGAAATGGGCTAATAATTAAGACAGAGCTAGCGGATAAGAAACAAGTAACCAGGCCAACAAAATTATATCAAATACAGAGTCTCTGTGTGTTAATTGGGGCTGGTGCGGCGGTGGGACAAGACCAGTGGCGGCGGGCGGAAAAACCGTACTCTTTACAACTGTCTTTTTTTTTTTTTTTTTTTTTTTTTTTTGATATATAAAACCTAGATTTATTTGTTAACTATTACAAAGACAAAAACATCAAGAGTACTCTGCAAACTTCATTACAGATTGCTTATTGTGTTACAGAAAGCTAAGAGGGCAGACAGTCAAGGACCTAAGCTGGGAGAATATAATAGAGCAACTGGGGAATGAGGAGGAGGGCAGAAGCTAGCACAGAAGTATTGTGTCCTGGCGAGGTGTGGCTGAGGTGTTCCCTGGAGGTGATAGAGTCAGCCTGAAGTAAAGGACCCACGCCTCTGTGGAAAAGGCTAGATAGAGCCCGCCCCCTCTGAGGCTCTCTTCAGCGTGTTTCTTACCCAGTCTGTATAGTGTGAGCTCTGTACATTTTACCTCGTAGGCCTTCTGGCTGACAGATGTACACACAGCAAAGGCAGGAATTAGAGGCCTATTAAGGAAGACACCCAGGAAGCTTGGGGGATAAATGAGAACCACAAATACCCGCTCAGTTAATTCACCTTTGTTGGTAAAGGTCTCAGTCTCTTCTACTGGTGACAGCTGGCTGTCTCATTATGGTCTGTCTTGCAAAGTAAGTTTTGGAGAAGGAAAAAGCCTTTCACCAGCCCCACTCTGGCCTGGAAGACACACCAAGTTCTCGCCTATCATTATAAAAGAATATGCTGATTTAGCTATCGCTGGGCACAAATCAGTAATGGGTTCAACATCATCACCGTCTTCCTCATCTTCATCAGAGAGAGATTCTTTTGATTCTTCTCCAAATTTGGCATTCACCATAACATACAGATGCTCTTGAGGATAAGCGTTTGGGTCCCTGGAAACTAATCGTGGGGTATTCCAATGAGAATCCTAATCCAGAATCATCTAACCAAGACAGGAGACTCTTGACAATGTAAAGGGTGCCAGAGCTGAGCCCCTTCTGGTTCAGCACAGCCTCAGTGTCTGGCTGCTGCAGCCGGAGCATAAGGCGGGAAGCTTTTAAGGAAGCTCATTGCGGGTGAAACCTCTTCATGATCCTAGACGCTGAGTGCCACAATCCCCCACAACTGTCTTAAATTCCAGTTCTAGGGCTTCTGATGCCTTTTTCTGGCCTCCCTGAGCCTCAGGCACACATATAGTAGACATACATATGTAGTTGGAAGTTCCTGTCATGTAGCCACTCCCAAATAACCATTCAGAAACAATATTATTTATAAATGCTTGGCTGATAGCTCAGGCTTGTTACTAGCTAACTTTTGCATTTCAATTAACTCATATTTCTTACCTACCCTCTGCCATGTGGCTCATGGTCTGTTACCTCATTTTCTACATGTCCTGTTTCCTCTGTGTCTGGCTGGCATTTTCTGACTCCACCCTTCTTCCTCCCAGCATTCTCTCTGCCTAGAAAATCCTAGCTATCAGCCAATCAGCTTTTTTATTAAACCAGTTTGAGTGACAACTCTTTACACTGTGCAGGAGGATATAAACTGGAGTTTCAGGTCTCTGGAACTCACTATGTAGATCAGGCTGGTCTCAAACTCAGAAATCTGCCTG